GACTGGTCAGCATACCGCTGACATTAGACGTGAAGACTCTGGGCTCGAGATTGTCACGCACGAGCCTTCGTTTTTCTTGGCCAGCGCCGTCCACCAATTGAAAATTGTAGAGGATTGTTACATTTAACATTCATCCAGAAAAATAACTTATAAACTGCAATGAGAGATGCGTCTTCACATAGCAAACATCGATGCAATACTCGTAAAAGAAGATATATTTCATTGAAAGGAGATCTCCAAGAAGAGAAATCAAGCAATGGATTAACTCCAGACGGAAAGCAGCATGAGCTAACTTATCATGGGAGAATAGACATTCCTCTTAACTTTGATTCAACTTTAAACGTTTGCATTAATAAGATGACTACCGACTCGAATTTTAAAGCCAAAATTTCTAGAACTACGAACAATGTAATGACTTCTGTTAAAAATATCCAATCTGTCAMGCATTCTTTAGATGACATGTCGTATTTAGGTGTCACGCAATCTCCTGATGATGGAGACGATATTGATAAGAACTTCAATTTACTATATGATGTCATACCTCATTCAACTCCTGCAGAAAAAGAAGCAAGAAGAGCAAAGCGACAGTTGCAACTGGAACAATGGAAGCTTAATGAGTTAAGTTTAGCAAGAAGTGAAAGATATCATAAAAGGTCAAAGAGAAAGCAAGGCTTGCATGATATACCAGTTTCATCTAATAAAAAGACAACTGTTAAGTGGAAAGAGGATCTAGTGGAGATCTTGTTGTTCAACTGTGAATCCTAAATTTAAAGAAAATTGCTATGATAGATCAAATCTAGACAGAATTTAACCCATAATTGTTCATGGAGTCATCAATTCTTGGAAATGATTGAAGTTTTATAATTGATGATTTTTACCCTTCAKCCATTTTTGATTTTCTATCATTTGTTTCATGTTATCTTAGCCTGTTTTATATGAACTCTGTTAGTTTCGTTTAGGTCGCATACATCAGGGGCGTGTCCAAGGGGATCACAGAGGGCGACCATGACCTCTCTTTCAAAGCCCAAAATATATATAAACATTGCACAGTTTAACTTAATTAACTTAGGCAGTTAAGAAATCCAGTTTTGTGACTTTTCAGGGATGTTTCATTTCAATTCAAATCATATAATGTCATAGTGACAATTTGGTATGTAAGATCCTCCCCAATGAAACCCTGGCTATGCCCCTGGTACATGTGCACAACCAGTTTACATTCAACTAGTCCGTTAAGTTTCAACTAGTACATATAGGCTGTTTTTGTTAACTGATATGTTTATGARATGTTATTTATTGATAAGGATATTTATGCAAAAGAATAAATTTGAAAAGAATAGACAAAGCGGGAGAAATCAGCTAAAAGAGAAAAGGGAGAAAAGAAGAAGGAAATAAAAATTATAGAATTTTAAATTAAACTCACTCTGAGGAATCTTCAGAGACGTCATTTCGCTAAGTTATAAATGATTTTCAAGTGGAACACAATAATAAGCAACCGCTTGGAAATCGGAACGAAACTGAGCGACGTATTAGCGTGAGCAAATTGCACTCTTCCCCAGGTCCTTGCAAGAAGAATTGACATTGCTCAATCATAGATAGAAAGTAAAGAAATTTATGTCAAAAAGTGGAAAAAATCTTTAAGTATTTTTCTGGATCAGGACCCCACTCCTGACGGGCTCCCTTTGTTGTAAACTGACTTGTCGGGCTCCCTGTGGTCATACGTTTGGCGGGAAATCTCCGTTTTCCTTCTATGGACTGTTCATGTTCGGTTGTTTGTGTCCTTAACTCACCTTTCTGGGGCTTTTGTAAAAAAATGAAGATTTTTGTCTTTATTATTTAATTTCATGACGTATTTTTTGGTATTTTGGTATGAATCACTTCACAACATAAAAGTTTATCAAAGCGTGGAGGATGCAAAAGATCCTTCGTGACTGTTCTGTCTCCCTTCGAGAAACCTTGCGTTCTCATCAAATTAAAACAGGTAAGCTTGGGATTCAAGATGTTATATTCTATCTACATAAGTGTTTGTAYAATTTTGTAAGGAATTATCGGCCACATTTGACCGTGATATTTCAGTTGCCTGTGTTTTGACATTTTCAGTTGCATCTCTGTTGACCTGTGATTCTGCCAAGATCACAAGTCAAACTGATGACAAAAAGGTACGGCTATTTGATAATATATATAGAAAAAGATAAGTCTTGATATTTTAGGGAAAAGAAAGGTGCATACAAAACTTTTCAATATAAAGGATTGCTTTCCTATAATTTTATGACACTTTTCACCCCTACCCCTCTCCTCCCCTACCCCAAAATGAGATGACAAGCAATAACCAATCATTCTGTATCAAACTGTAGCCACTCAGACTTGACTGTTTTCTTACAAAAAGTTTTTTTTTACTTTCCATAACAGGAGCTTCAATCTATACAGCATACAGTTTTAAACCAGTTCTCTTGCTTTCCTTTGAGTGGCCGTAGCCTTCTTGACGATGTCATGTCATCATTCTTTATTTTACCAACAGGTTTGTTAATATGCAAAAAACTCATACACAATTAATGAGTTGCTAGGCCAATAGAATGAGCCTATTTGGTCACATGCATGGACCTTTATATCTGATAAAACACTCCTTATTAGTTTTCTTTATATAGAGAATACTAAGTGTGACATTTATCAGATATAAAGGTCCATGACCCTAGGTCAAAGGACTCAGGTTTGATACCTGATCATTGACCAGTGCAGGATGTCAACCAAATGCAGTAAACAGCCAACAGCGCTTCTATTTTACAATGCGTATTCAATGTGGGATGCCAAGAGTGCATTGTAAAGTGATTCGCGCATGATCAGTTTTCCCCCATTTATCTCAAAACTTATTTTTATGGCAATTTCTCCAATAATTTTAATGGATTTGAGTTTCAAATTAGTGTTGGAGTTTTTTAAGCTGTTTAGAACACTTGAGATTGTGTTTTAAACTATACGTAAAAAATAGTAATATAAACACTAGGTACACATGCTAACAGTAGCATTTCTCACTGTTTTACCATGGGAGTCATATAGCTTGAGCCATATATTCAAAGTTTCACACTTTTAAAATCTCACTACTGTTTTTGGGATAAGAAATAAGAACCAGTTAGT